AAACTATTTCCTAACAACCCAAAACGCGTTGTCAGCCGTATTTGTCACATACTTTATTTGAATTTTATATAAGATGAAGTTCTTGGTAAAAATGGTCTTTTTTATACAATATCACACTTGATTGACGGGACGAACAAGTCTGTGACGATGTGACCTCCTTGCATCGTCATCCCATCTTTTTATCACCTTTTCTCTGGTTTCTGGCCACTTGTTTTCAAATTTCGAATCGTTCTTTAATGCCTTTGCCTCGCCATTCTCTTTTTGTTTCGTTCCGTCGTCACTCCCTGCTCAATCGCGGTAGCGAGCCGTTCAGCTGTAATTTTCAATTGCGTCTAATTTTCCTTCCTTTCACTAGTTATCACCCTAATCATTTGCCAAATTTAATGTTAATACCAATATGTAATTCTGTATAATTCAACCCTTTTGGGCCTTTCCTTTCTATTTCTTTAAACTATCGAATAAATTTTTGTGGACCGAAGTACCCTATTGTATTGCCGTGATCTTGGTGCCTGTAATTTCACCAGCATCCTTCAAAACCGGAACACAGTAATACTGACATTACTATTTGGTGGCAGAAATAGGTAAGGTGGCAATACTTCCCTGGACGAACTCTGTCACAAGGAGCTCTACTGCTATTTATGTATTGTAGGCTGGGGTTTCCCAGTGTGGAATTTCTTGCTTGCAGATTTGCTCTCTAAACGCTATAACTTGTGCTTTTTTAAGGCGAAAGTGAATAAGCATTATGAAGGTGTATTAGCAGCAGTAGAACTCTTCGTGCAAGAGTTCGGCCAGGGAAGTACTGCCACCACATCTATTTCTGCCGTCAAGCAATAATGAAAGCCTTGTGTTCCTGCTTTGAAGGGTGAGAGTGCTGGTGAAATTACAGGTACATGAGATTTGACAACTTTATGTCTCAGGGTAATGGGCGCAGTTGTGCCACCTTGGATCTTTGCGATATGATCAAAACCAATTAAGAAAATATAGGTAATTTTTAAGTTTGTTAAATGACACGATGTTTGAACACCATGTTATTCAAATATTTTTGTGAAATTACTCTATTGTTATAAACTGCCTCTGTGGCCGAATGGTTACCATGCCGGACTGACATGCAGAGGTCCTGAGTTCGATTCCCAGGCCAGGAAAAATATGTGCATGGCCTAAATTTATTTCTCTCGTGAGTTTAGGTGTAATTTGTGGTTTTCTATGTGTGTGTTAATGGCACCCGTGACACAGGGTTTCCCTAGTGCGGCACTATGTTGAGTGTGTGCGTTATTATTATTATTATAATTGTTAATACAAAGATTGAACACTGAGAAAAAAGTCGATCCGGTTGTATTCGAACCAGCGTATTCCAGCAAACCTTGCCAGACGCTATGCCAGCTAAGCCACGGAACGAACTAGTGGCCCTTACGTATTTTTTTGTGTGCTTGTTGCAGATCTTTATTTTTAGTTTTTAACGACTTTTTGCCTAAGCGCCCAGACCGTTTCGAGGTCAAGTCAAGTAATTAAATAAAAATGGTTTCACTATTTCTTTTTTGTATTTTTTTATTATTTTACGAGGGAACCTGTGTACTATTCATATTGTAGGAAAATTCCTTACTTAATTATGCAAATGATACCTACCTAAAACTTTATTATATATTTATTCTGAAGAGGACTTTAATTAACTTACTGGCATACAAGAGATTATACTATACAACTAGATTTTGAATTTTGCTATTTGTAAAGTACCTTTTTAAATTATGCAAATAAAACTTTGACTTACAAATAAAATAAAACGACAAAGTTGACGGTGAAGAGACAAATGGTTGATAAAAAATAATAAATGTTACGTTGTCAACTATCGAACAATTTTTATTGTGACAATTTTCAACTGTCACATTCGAGGCATTCATATAATAAAACTTGTTGACATTAATGTGTGGAATTGGAAGTGGTGAATATAGGGCAATTAAATTGATAACCTGTATACAAGTAATTTATAATTAAAAATTATGAAAAAAAAAAGTTAAAATTCTTTTAACCGCCTATTAACTTTACTAATCTATACATATACATATATATGTATATATACATATATGTATATATACATATATATAGATATATACATATATATAGATTAGTAAATATATCTGATAAAAATTAAAATATATTACAACTATGTATAGCAATAGAAATAAGAAAATTTCTGTTGCTGTTATACATGGTACAAAATAAAGAACTTTACTAACCTAATAAATAACAAAATAATAAAATATAAAACAACCATGTATATCAACCGAAATAAGAAAATAAATTTAGTAGTCAAAAAACCCAAGTTAAAATTTGTTGTGTGGCAGAATCCCCGTGGGATGATCAAGTTATCAGTAAGTAGCTTGTGGTGTGGCAAACCTGACTTGTTATTAAAAGCCCGAGTACATAGTCATCTACTTGATTAATTTATTTACTAGATAACCTAGAACTCACACAAAGAAAAATTCCTTCGACTCGACAGGACTTGAACCAGCGATTGTTGCCTCAACATGGCTACAGGATTGTTCTTTCTGTTTATTCGATGTTTCTATTAAAATGATACCAAATTAGTGCAGTATTTTTACAAAAATTCACGAATATCATTGTAAAATTGGTAAAAGACATATTCAATAAAAATTAAATAAGTAAGTTTTTCTAAATCATAAAGAAAAGTACCAGAAAGGATAGCAGAATATCTATAATACAAGTTCTTACTTAATACCTTTTTAAACCCAAATTTGATAATAGCAAAGATTGAAACAAAGAAATTCATCGCACATTAGAGTGAAATCCAAGACAGATTCTTTTACTCACTGGAAAATGTAGATAAACATCTAGTTAGTATTTACAGCGGCGATATATTATTAGTATTATAATGAGTGATTTATTTGTGTTTAAGTTGACATTGGAAAACCTGTTACAAAACTCTATTAATAACAGTAGGTAGTTTGGTGTCAATTTATTAAAATACATTGATTCTATCTTGAATAAAATACTTTCAGTTTTAAGTTAATCTGTTTTTATAATATAATCGCAACATTGGTTCGCTGACTCTACAACCAGTATAAAAATTATGCCATACAAGGCCGACAACCTCGTATAGTAGGTTTTGGTCAGTGTCAGTCGCGTGGGTTAGACGATGACAATAATTCGCCATGTGTAAACGCGTTCTGCGCACACGCAACCTTTAGTCAGAAATTGATAAAAATAGTGATAAAATTAGATCGTACGTTCAGTTAAATTTCTGTGTGAGTGTGAAAATTTTACTCGTCAAATATTTCTAATAATGTAACTTTGTTTATTAAAGAACAAGTGGAAAAATATTCAGTGAATTTTAAGTGGGTTTGTTTTTGTCGTTCTAATTAAGGTAATTTTTTATGCTTGAATACTTTATGTGTGACAATAATAATAATGCTCAATTACATTATTGAAAATATATGTAGACGTATGTATATATTTTTTAATCACTTTATTAAAAACAATTGTATGAACTAGCACTTAACTAAGTTTTTTTCGGAAAATCTTGGTAAACTGGAATCTTCACACGTATTTGTGTGTTCAAGTGTATTTGAAAATTTTCATTTTCACTGACAGCTCTATCAATGCAAATGGATATAATATAAAGTTTTGATTAAAATTAGTTGTTTAAAATGAATATAACGAACGATCTATATATATTTTTTCTCTGTGAAAAGTAGCGACTTACGCTCTTTGGCTTTATTAGAATTACACGTTAGTTAAAGAGTTGGTAAAGAATAATGATAACATAATAAGTGAACGAATGAAAATGGCAAAAATGAAAGCATTTTCATTATCGCTGCAATGAATTAAGTGATATTAAGTTTATACACACTATTGAATTAAATTTGTAAAGATTATATCAGCGCACAAGGCAAATAAAATTATATGACTACCTATAGCGTAAAACATCATGATAAGGTCTCCAGATGTTTGTTTGAGAACTAATGCAGATAATTTTTGCAAACCTTCGGTCACGTAATGAAATTGAAATATTATTATTTGTTAATTGATTATATAAATGATTTAATTTAATGTTAATAATTATACAAATATCATAATGAGGTCATTTTGCAAAAATTGTAGTCGAAAGACAAATATAAATATTGTGTAATCACTACATGGCTACAGAACTACTTCAATCTTGATTCCTAACACATAGTAACTACTTACTAAGTTTATATACGCGTCTACGCGCGCACACACACACACACACACCAATTACGCTCTACTTTATTTTTCTTTAAATTTGTTTCCTTCATAGTTATCACTGTTTAACACTGCATCCGTACAGACTTACATCTTTTACTTATGATTATTATATTATGTATATTTTTTGTGCCGCCTAACTATACCGTGCCTCGTGAGACACATTGTTTTCTAGTTTAAAAGCCCGCGTCTCTCAACTTTGTTACGCCTTTCTTTTATTGTCCGACTTATTGTAGACCAATACCCATTATATTATTATTAATAAAATGTAGAATACAGTCATTGTTGGCAAATGTTTAATAAGTATGCAACTTCAACTAATACGTGATTTTATATTATTTCATTATAATTTCGGCATGTGTACACATATTAGAACATTTGACTGTACCTGTGTATATTTAGATTTCTGAGGAGATAATTTTCTTAATATAGATACTTGTGATAGCTCGCGTATGTTTACATAATAATTCTTTTTAACGAATTTTATATGAATCTGTGCTTCATTCACTATAACATTTTTGTTTGGGGTAGGCATTTTTTTACAAGTTTTTTTAAAAATTTATTTTATTTAAATTGAAATAAAATGGAAACCACATAGATTTGTTGTTAATTGTATCTTTTGATAAAAACGTTTCAAGTACGTCTGTAAGTTTTATCAGTATTATTTAGTAATATTTAACTGGATATATGTATATACATCCGGTTTGTGTCCAAGCGTTTATAATAACTCTACAATCGTGAAACATTTCTTTGTAGATTAAAAATATATGGTAAACATGGACGAAGAAGCGGAACCTCAAGCGCAGGCGCACAATCTTCTTGGTCAGAACACGCGGCCATCACCAAGACGAAAAGATAATGCTTTGACAAAAGCTTTAAGGTCATGTAAGTACGAAAATTTGGACTTTTAGTGTTAAAGGAAATAAACTATATCGATATTTCGGGAAAGATTTCGTAAAAGCCAATTCGATTGCTGTAGTCGGATTAAATTATCAAGCCCTCGATCTCTTTAGATGAAAAAAATACTTTTTATGTTATAAGTTTTTTATAAAAGAAACTGGCTTTAAAAGTTTGTGGAATTACATATATTTGCCAAGTTTTAATGACATCGGTTAATGGAAATTGGGTGTAATCCAATAAACAGGATTCATCCTCTAATTTGCCACCCTTAGAGCACTCCTGATGTACATCCTTTCCAACAAAAAATAATCATCGAAGCCGGGTAACAAATCTCGGAGTAAAAAAACAGTCGAATTGAGAACCTCTTCCTTTTTTAAGTCGGTTAAAAGTAGCTATTATTATTTTAAAAAGAAAGCGATTTTTTTACTTGCCTTAGCTTTACCTTGCGAACTTTGTGGTTCTTTTCGACCCTGAAGTATCGATATGGTATTCATATTTTTGGTTGAATGCGTAAGGACGGACGTAAAAGGCCGCAGTATTTTATCACTAATACATGTTATAAGAGTGTTGGTAATCTAGTGGGTCAATGATTGTTTCTTAAATGAGAGACGGATACTTCGATTTCAATTTGTGATTATTTAGTAGAAATTCTCTTTTTAACGGTGAAATAAAGTATCTCGCAAGTCGGTTTACAACCCTAGGGTGCAGCACGCGTGCTGTGCGCGTCTGGATCAGTACGCACCCGAAAACGTGTGAAGTAAACTCTCTCCTTAAAGGTCCATGCTGAAAGTCAGAGGTATAATAGAATGACAATGAATATGATAATGATAAGAGCACTATCAGTCTCGTAAGACTCAGCAAATTACTATGGGAAACGCGCTAAACGCCCAATATACGTTACAACGTAATATATAGGGCGTCCCAAAAATACCACGACTGAGCGATACTTTTGGGAAGGTGAGCTCTATACCTACCAGACAAAAATAATTTCATGCGGCTAAAAGTCGTTTGGTTTTCGAGATAATGGCATTTTTTTTAAAAGGTACGAGGTAAATTAATAATTTTTTTCACATTCTATATTTCTCAGTAAAATATTAGTATCTGGAAAAACCATGCAGAATACCCGAAAAATAAAAATAACAACAATCTGGAGCTAACCCTGGCAATAATAGCATAAAACCCAACAAAAAGTAGAGTTTTCCCAAAAAAATTCCAAATAATCCTATACAGCTCACATACCCACAGTGCGACACCTCCAATGAACACTACGCCATCTTTATTTTTTGGTCGTCTTCTGTTATTTTTGTAAACAGCCATATTTATTTGCCTTAGTAAATAAATTTAGTTGGCTTAGTGTTCATTGGAGGTATCGAGTGTCGCTCCGTCGTGGTATTTTTGGGGTACTCAGTATTCATTAGCATAATTTATTATGTAATATATTTTGGTGCAATTATAGGCACATGAGGCTTGTGAACATCTCACGGTGAGAGACGCAGTGGTAGTGTCTCTCTGATCTTTGCGATTTAAAGCTCTAAGTGACACTACAACTGCTATGGACAGGCGTGTCGCTTTACACCAGGCGCCTTGTTCGTCCCATCACTTGGTATAATAAAAAAAATGTGGTTCTTTGTCATCATATTTGCAACAATTTGGTTCTATTAAATTAAGCAATAAATTTTAAAATAATAATAATAAAAATAATAAATTTTAAATTGTTCTATAGTAAATTCTACACAATCCACTTCTACAAATGTAAACAAAAATTGTATTTCCTTTCGCATATTCAGAACGGTACTCATGGTAACCAGTTGTGTGGTTTCGATTTTGCATTAATAATACCTTTGAAATCATGTCAGCTAAAAAAATTAGAACCTTATACATATGTGTAACTCTTACGAAATAGTGTGATAAGAGAGTGTTGCGGCGTAGAAGAAGATATAATGACAAAGATAAAAAAGGGACCCTTAGGTGATGCGGGCATGAAAGGAAACTGATAAAACAGATTTATAATGTTAGTGTGAGTGGGTTTTAAGTTGGTACTGGCTAGTGCTTTCAGTCTCGCTGCATTTCTTCATCCCGGAAAAAAAATCGAGACTCGGTGCGATCTCGAAAATCCCGGGAAAAACGAGAATTTCAACACTCTTTCAAATAATTTACCAATGATTTTTGTTATTCAAGTGCGTCATACCTATAGGTATAAAGTTTTTATTTCACTAATTTTAATCCTCGTAAACGACAAATTTTGTTTTTTTATTTATTATATCAAGTGACGGGACGAACAAGTCATACGCCTGATGGTAAGCTACACGCCCGTCCATAACAGTTGCAGTACTAGTCAGAGCTTTACTTCGCAAAGATCTTAGGGGCACTGCCATTGAGGCCGTCACCCTGACAAGTCTCATGAAGTTGACAAGTCCCATGTGCCTGTAATTTTACCAGCATCCTCTTACCCTTCAAAACTGGAACACAGTAATTCTGACATTATTGCTTGGCGGCAGAAATAGGTAGGGTGGCAGTACATCCCTGGACGAACTCTTTCACAAGGCGTTCTACTGCTACAAAAATATTAACCGGAATCTTATTATGGTAGTGCCCCTTAACTTAATATGTGCTTTTTTGAAGACGACTGTAAAAATATTAATGATAGGTCTATCACACCTTTTCATGAAAAAAAAAATATTATTCCTCTTAACGTAAATTACATTTTCATAAAAACATTATGTTATCAAAATTTGTATATTTTTTGTATGGTTTTTACGTCACATAATGTCGATTTATTGTACCCGTGACTAGTTATACGGGCTGTTATCAGCGACAGAGTATATGTAGCTATTAAAACCGCTTCATCATTTTGTTTATTCAGCGTTTCATACAAAGTGTCCGTAATAGGTCAAGATAGAACGGACGATAAACTTTAACTCTAATGGATTTGTAACAATGTATTAAGGGGGATTTCTTGTAATATTTATTTATTTTTGATCGGTTCATATTTAAGCACACATAATATTACAACACATATAATATTATTATGACACATTTATATTATAGTGTAGTGTAGTGTAGTCCAGTTTGTCTATTCTATCGAGACCTTGAAATCCGGCAACAATGCCGATAGGGCTATCAATACTATCGATAGTACAATACATTCAATAGGCTTGATAATTATCAACAGTGTGATTTTAATAATTATTAAAATTTATGATTTATCGACATGGGAGCCTCTCTAAAAAGCAAAATTGCTGTTCGGTGGTTATTGCCCAACTGGGTACGTTATAAATTTTTTATTTGCACAAATAGAAACACGCTGCCAATCTATTGTTCAAAACTACTCATCCTGTATGTTGGTACTGAAATATATGGGTAGTGAAGAGGTATATTTATTCATAACAGGAAACTTGATAACCAGTCTTTTGTCTTTCGTAATCGATACTAAAAGCGGATCAGCTCTAGCATCAATAACAAGTATCACATTTTTTTTGCATTTTTCTAAATGGATCCATAAAAAGAACACTCATGTTTTGCATTATAAGCTTTGAAACAGTTCCATATTTTATTTTTTTATGAACATATTAGCTGACGCACAAAAACTGGTGGCAAAAATAACGACGCAGATATTTCGGTGTTGCAAAAAGTATAACATCAAATAAAATTACAGCTTTGGCGATTCTCTTTATATGAATGTGTATTAACTCATTTACGTACCAGTGCTTTAAATCCAAAGAACGGTTTTTAGGCCGTAATTCATTTGGATATATCCAAGCTTATGAACCTGGTTGGATATGCAGATTCTTTTCTCTTGACATTTTATTTACAGGTAAAGCAAGTCTTTAATCATACATATACAAAAGTACGTGGAATTACATGTAAATACCAAGTTTTATTGAAATCGGTTACCGGAAAATGCGCAAACCCGGACTCATTCCCTAGTTCGTCATTATCACGACTTGACACAGGAGATAATAAAAATCGGTTCTCACTAACCAAAGCCTTGAATTAAAGAATAGCAAAATCAACCATTAAAATAATTGCTCGTTATACTAAAATTTAGGCGCTATTTATAAAAATGAATCTTCATGCATGAACAGCCACCCTTAGAGGTGGATGATTTTCTTCAAAATTAAATGGGACCACTGTGGAGGTACCCTCTGAAAAAAAAAGAATCATGAAAATCAGTTCACAAATACCGGAGTTATCGCGTAACATACACATAAAAAAAAGATCATACACTCGAATTGAGAACCTTCTTCTTTTTTGAAGTCGGTTAAAAAGTGCTTCCAAATCTACACGTTTAAATTTGTTTATAGAAAATATTATTATTTCTATTATTATAAGTAATATAACCCATTGTAGGTTATTGTGGTTACGATATAACGTTACGTGCGTTATCTTAGTCACTCCCGAGCAACGTAGGTTTTGTTTCAATGTTATTTATATTTGTATTGCATTTAAAACAAGGTGTTCAAACGTAAACCGCCATATTTAAATGAAGGACTTATTTTAACTCGTCAATATAAATCAGTACACAGTACTAAAAAACCGACCTCAAAAGTCATCCATCCCCTGGTTCGCCACCCTTAGAGATGGAATATTTTCTTTAAAAGTGAATGGGACTACTATTGAGGCAGCCTCTTTCCAACAACAAAAGAATTATCAAAAGCGGTTCACAAATAGAGTTATATATATAAAAGTTATACACGTAACATACATAAAAAAAACATACAATCGAATTGAGAATTTCCTCCTTTTTGAAGTAGGTTGATAATTTTACTATGTGAATCAGGTCTTGGTTATTGTCCCATTGTTGTTCAATATGATGAGTGTCATACGATAATGGTAATTTCAAAATTAAAATCTTTACGATATTCAATGAGCCAAATATACAAAATGAAATGGTTGGTCATTTGGAGGTAGAAAATTCTGCTGAGGGACCACACCCTGTCATCGTGTCTAAAAGAATGGCGTCTTTTACCCTTCAAATAGCTATT